CAGGAAATCAGGGCTGGACACTTACGATTATTCAGACTCCTGTCGCTACCCCTGCACGGATTATCAGAAGTAGAATCTTGTCACAGATTCTTGGGTACAAAGGGGGCAGATTACACAAACCAACATCAGGCAGTTCAACAAGATCGCCAGTGTGAATCCCCATCAGTGTTATTCCTCGGCAACTGCCCCTGAACTAACTTGGAAAATACCCAAGGAGAACAAGGTATCTTAGATGAAGATGATGTCAGTTCTTTCTTGATCTCAGTAAGTCAAAGTAAATTTATACCTAAATAGCTATTTTCCAGATTTCAGTGTCTTCCAGCCACACATATTTTCTTTTCTTTTATCTTTTTTTTTTTTTTGAGATGGAGTCTTGTTCTGTTGCCCAGGCTGAAATGCAGTGGCGTGATCTCGGCTCACTGCAACCTCCGCCTCCTGAGTTCAAGCGATTCTCCTGCCTAAGCCTCCAGAGTAGCTGGGACTACAGGCGTGTGCCACCATACCCGGCTACTTTTTTTATTTTTAAAAGGGACAGGGTTTCACCGTGTTAGCTAGGCTGGTCTTGATCTCCTGACCTTGTGATCCGCCCACCTCGGCCTCCCATAATGTTGGGATTACAGGCGTGAGCCACTGTGCCTGGCCCAGCCACACATTATTTTCAAATTAATAAATAAGTTAAAATTGCTGGTGTGCAGTCATCTTAGGGAAACTGAAGAGTCAAAACGAATAGCTAGAATTCTCTGGGTGATGACCAGAACATATACTATGCTGAGTCCTGATGTGGCTGAAAGACACCGTGAGCTGAGCCAGCTAGCTAGCTTGGTTGTGGTGCACTGGGAATGGGGGTTATGTTATCTGTCAAAGGGAATATAAATTCTGCAAACTAAACCTGGCAGTTTGGGGAAAATGTGTTTAACTCACCCACTTCCCTCCTTGCTTGTACTACTGCTTTCCTACACTTTTTTTTTTTTTTTTGAGACAGTCTTACTCTGTCACCCAGGTTGGAGTGCAGTGGTGCAATCTCAGCTCACTGCAACCTTTGCCTCCTGGGTTCAAGCAATCTCCTGCCTCAGCCTCCCAAGTAGCTGGGATTACAGGTGCCTGCCACCACACCCAGCTAACTTTTGTACTTTTAGTAGAGATGGGGTTTCACTATGTTGGCCAGGCTGGTCTCGAAATCCTGACCTCAGGTGATCCACCCACCCTGGCCTCCCAAAGTGCTGGGATTACAGGTGTGAGCCACTGCACTGGCCAACCTTCCTACTTTTCAACTTGAGTTTACTCAGGGGTTGGAACATTTATTCCAATAAAATGTGCCTGATGTGATCTCTCAGTGATTAAAGACACCTGCTTAGTATGCATTAACTTCAGTGCAGTATGTGCACCTCTCTGAGGACATCTCCACTAAGCCCTCGGTGACTGATGCTGCTTCACTTTCTTCAGGTGTATAAATTGAAAAGGCAATTTTTACCTGCTATGAAGTCCCAAGAAAACAGGACTTGGCTCCTTGGGCATATTAGCCTTTAGTCTTGTTAGTGACTATCAGATGTTGCTTGAGCATATTTGGAAAATAACTTTGTATGTTGAAATTTTGGAAAATCAAAGTATTATACTGCAAATCACTTGAAAGAGGGCAAAAACCAAACTGTAAAGCTTAGCCAGATGTGATATAATCATTTCACTGAAGATGTGAGATAGGTAAAACTTTTTTCTTCCAGGTCATGAACACATTTGATTGTAATTTGAGTTAAAGTATTATAGTTCCTTTTAAAAAAATAAGCCCAGAATGTTAAAAGTGTGAAATCCATTTCAGCAAGTTGAAAATGTTTGGGTGTTTTAAGATATTATCACAGGTCTGCGTATTCCAGGTTCAACTTACTTGGAATTCTGGATTCTAAGTATTTTAAATTGAAGTTAAAGTGAAATCAAGTGTAAATTAACCTGTGATTTATTTTTTGGTTCTGGTTATTTTTAGGTAAATAAATGAGGTCAGGATGTCAGACTGGCGAATATTTGCTGAGATAACCCATTACTGTGATTGAAATTCCAGGAGGAAATTGAAGAGGGGTGATGACGCAAAGGTGATTACGAACAACATGAAAACGGCTAATACATGTTGGAAAACTTTTTTTTTTTTTTTTTTTGAGACGGAGTTTTGCTCTTCTTGCCCAGGCTGGTGTGCAATGGCATGATCTTGGCTCACTGCAACCTCCGCTTCCCTGGGTTCAAGCGATTCTCCTGCCTCAGCCTCCCAAGTAGCTGGGATTACAGGCACCTGCGACCACGCCCAGCTTTTTTTTCTTTTCTTTTCTTTTTTAGTAGAGACGGGTTTCACCATGTTGGCTAGGCTGGTCTCGAACTCCTGACCTCAGGCGATCCACCCGCCTTGGCCTCCCAAAGTGCTGGGATTACAGGCGTGAACCACCGTGCCTAGCCCACGTGGGAAACTCTTTACCACAATTAATAGGTGAGTTCATTAGGGATGACAGCACACCCTCCAGAAACCATATTTACTACAGATCACTCACCACTATTACACTCAATACTAACTAAAAGGCCAGAGGATTGGATTCATATAACATTTAAAAAAGTACACATATATTTTATAAATATAAGGATATTATTTGCACTAGCAAACAATTTATCTGTATTCCTAAAGTGTCATACAAATGATTCTTGCAAATCTGTTTTAACTAGGGAGAAAACAATGTATTGAGATAGTTGGACTAGACCTATCAACCACTAACACTAAACTTGGAAGAAAAGATCCAAGAGTTCATAGCTTAATTCTAAACCATCTATGCTTCTCACTTGAAAACAGAGAAGGGCTGACGTAAATGAGTTGTGAGGGTATCTGACTACCCTAAAAGCAGAATCTTTGCAGGTTTTAGCCCTGGAAGGATTCCTAGGTGAGATGGGGGTACCTATTTCATATTCTACTTTTGGTTGCCTCCTTGCTTTTGTTATGTGACCTCAACCAGACTCCTTGTATAAGTTACAATTTATTTGTGGATGTGAACCCGGGCTCCTTTTGTAGGTTATAGTTTATTTGTGGGTGTGAACCCCCTTCCTTTGCCTGGTTCAATTTCTTCAGCGGTCTAGGAAAGAGACCCTTCCGAGCAGTGGCCTGTTTTATATCTGTAGGCCTCTCTTCCTACCACTCACTTCTTGGCCCAACCCCCCTTCACATTCCTCTGCTTAGGAAGATAGCAGGGGCAAAAAAGGCTTCATACATTATTATTTTATTAAGAAACCATTTTCTCTCCAGGATGGGCACAAGGTGCAAGGCTATTTCCTTACATGAGCAGGTATTTTAAAAGCTGGGCAGGAGACGCCATACTGTAAATTTAAAATTTAAAAAAAATTTAAGGCGAACCTTCTTTTTAACCTTAAGAATAGTCTTCACTATTCTCCACCACCTTCCCACTGGCTGTGTAGAAATAACGACCACCAGATGAGAACAGGCTATTTACTCAGAGCTGGCAAGGGAGTCAGCCGAGACCCATCACTTGGTTTGGTAGACTCATAGGCAGGCAGGGGAGTGGAAAAGCTTTACATACAGTGAAAAAAGTGAGAAACTTCAGGCTGGCTCTGATTGGAGGCTCCTGGCACCGGGAAGTTGGAGGAGGGCTAATTAGAAGCAGGGCTTCTTATGTGATTAGTGTGAGGAGCACATTTGGCTTTCTCTGATTGGCCCAGAGCTGGAAGCAGGGGCAAGAAATAGGGAAGCGGCCAGCTAAAGATCAAGTCCTGACCATTCTGGGCAGATTACTGCAGGGGTCATGGGTAGGAGGTCATGGATAGGTTTGGCCATTCTTTGTATACTCAAGTCTCTCAATTGGGCGAGACCCAGATATTGTTTCTCTTGACCTAGTTAGCTTTTAACTCCAAAGTTTTGTTTAACTTGGAAGAAGACAGCAGTTCTATTATTTCTGTCAAGGATAAACAGAGACATTGGGATCTGAAAAGTAATTATGGAAAGATACATAAATATCTTTATAGTGAGGGTCAGCCAGGAGGAATCACCCTCTGCCTTCAGGTTCTCCATTTCCTTACTGAATTCCTACTTCCATTATAACGAACGATTCAGTAGCTTCCCTCCCTTGGGGGAGGGCCCGGCCTCCTCCGCTCCCACTTTCTTGAGTCTTGCCCTTCGACGGCAGGAGAAGAGGGTTGCGCCCTACCAAATCCTCACCTTACAGTCCAGCTTCTCCCCCCACCACTCCGGTGAGCTACCCCTGCTCCATGCGTTCCGGAGTAATCCCCCTCAGTCGCACTCTCACAGCCCGGCCCCTGCCCCCGCCTCATCCCCAGTTGTGCCTTCACCTCCCGGTTCCTCCCCAACAGGTCCCCCAAGATACGCCCTCACAGTCCGGTCCCCCGCCGTCCTCTCCCGGCGCAAGCTCAAGCCGGGTGCCTTCCCCCCGCAGCCCCCCGAGGCGCACCCTCAAGCTCGGTGCCTTTGCCCCACCCAGCCCCACAGGGGCGCCCTCAAGCCTAGTACACGTCACATGAGAGCCCCTCGGGCGCACCCTCAAGCTCAGTGTACCCCCCATACAACCCGCAGGCGCGCCCTCTTGCCTGGAGCCTTCCCCCGCCCAGGCACACCCTCAAGCCCGGTGCCTGCCCCCACCCCCAACCAGCCCCCCAGGCGCACTTTCAAGCCCGGAGCCTTCCCCTAGCCAGGCGCGCCCTACTGGCCCGCCCTGCCCCTCCGCGAAGCGCCCCCCGCGCGCTCCCTGGAGTCCTCCCTCCTGCCTGGCGCGGCCTCCAAGCCCGGTCGGCCCCCCTTCCGGCCCCCACACTCAGACGCGCGCCCCGCGTCTCCGGGCCGCTAGTCCCGCGCCTTCCTGGATGGACGCGGCCCCTTACGCCCGGCATCAGCCTCCCCGGCTAGCACGAGAAGTCAGGTCAGCTTCCTGTCCCCGAGCAGCTGCCCGGGGGCCAGTTTTCAAAACATAGCCTTAGACATGTAATAAAGAGATGCTCCTCTGGTCTCAACTCCCTATTTTTACTTTGGAGGGGCGAAGGCAGGGCTACCCTTGCCAGCCACCATTCTCCAGTCACTTCGCAGCTGTGGAAAAGCAGCCGTCCTGTCCCTTCAGAAAGGAACTCATATTTCCCCCTCGAACTTTTCTCGTCGGTGTGAGAGAAGGGCCCTCCATTTTCTCCTCAGGAGGCTTTTGCGGCCCGGCTTCCTCTCACCACCAGGCCGGGAAGGCAGTGACGCCGCGGCGGATGTAGCCGCGGCGGCCGAGGTTTCGCCATCTTGAGTGGAGGAGGAGCCGCGGTCGCCGCCATGCGGAGAGGCAGGGAAAGAGGGAGGAGGCGGCGGGCAGGCGAACGGGCGAGCGAGGGAGGGGACAGAGGAGCCGAGTTAGCTCAGCCCGGCGGCGACTTCGGCGGCGCCACGAGAGCGGGCAGCGGAGGAGGTAGGGCTGGACGGCCGGGGGAGCCGGCGGCGCGGGCGGCTGGGCTGCGCGCCCCTCGGAGCCGGGTGGGGGCGGGGGCGGGAGGCGGCCGTAGCGAGGGGGCCGAGTGGGGGCGGGCGGAGGTTTCCGAGGAGGAAGGAGCGGCCGCCATTTTGGGAGCTTCGAGTCAACAATAAAGGACCGAGGGTGCGGAGCAGGAGTGGCCTCCTTGGTAGGACACGGGCCCGAGCCGCGAGGCCTGGGGTGAGGTGGTGGGGTCGAGGTCAGCGGCGCTATGGGGGCTGCGGGGAGTCTCCCGGGCCGGCTCTGGGGGACTCTCTTGGGCGGAGGCCTAAGGCCTGGCCGGGCCTGGGGAGGAAGGCGGGCGGCAGCTGTGTGGGGTGGGGGCGCCTGAGAGGAGGCGAATATAGGAATGTGGTGCGCGGCAGGGTCGGCAGGAGGAGCAGGCGAAGTACTCGGAGGAGCTTTACCGAAGATGAGGGAATATGAGGCCGAAGGGGGCGGCAAGGACTTAGGGGGATGATGGTGGAGGTTATAGGGTACGAGGCGGCCCTATAGGGGGCGGCAGGGACATGCTGTATTGGAAGGCTCGGTTTAGAAGCGAACTGACCGCTGCTTGATTGCGGTAGGCCTTGCAGGTCAATAACAAGAGGGTGTATATGGAGCCCCAGACTCTTGGAGGAAATGAGGGGGATTTCTGGGTTGGGGGGTCCCTTTGGGGCCTCCTTGGGGGATTCCCTATTGTTTGCTACTGATGGAGCTGGTTGCCGGCTCATATTGCGCAGATAGGATTGCAGAGCCCCAACCTTTTGTGTTTATGGTCAGAGGGAGCTGACTTGACGTGTGTGTGTTTGGGGCGAGGGGCAGCAGGGGGGAGGGCAAGAAATTTCCCTACAGTTGTGGGGCTCCAGTCATTGACTTGTCTCTTTCCCTTATCTCTTTCTTTTCTCTTCCACAGCCCCCCTTTCCCTTCAGAATAAAACCCAGTCACTGCAACTTGCAGGCAAAGCTTAGAAAAACTGCGCTGCATTTGCAAACAAAAGCTCTTGTTGGCGATGACGAGACTGTTTTGGGTGTGAAACTGTCAATTGCTAACTATGATCTGAGAAGTGCTGTAATTAACTCCGCTAGGGGCTCCTCCCAACTAGTCTACGTTTCTAGTCTGTTTCTCGTTTTTTTGTGTTTTGTTTTGTTTTGTTTTGAAAATGTAGAAAGATAACTTGAAAATCTAAATTGGGAAGGGATAGGAGGAATATTTCCTTCTCTGAGACAAAGCTGCAGTGCAGGTTTCAGTTTAAGAAGGGAACAGTTATCACATAGTCTCATTTTGGATTTAAGGATATAGGAGGTCTTACTGTGCATGATGGACAGTAATGATGATATCGTTCGGTCTTTAGAGGTTGCCCTTTTCATCCTCTTAGTGCTCTGCAAACAGCTAAGTCTCTGTGTGAACTGCGTGATGTCGCTGATCATAATATAAACCCGTCAATACAGGAAAGTAGCTGTTAACCATATCTGCTTAAGATGTCAGAAGGACTTTAAAGTAAACAACTTTGTGTATGTGATAAACAGGATTTGCTTGTGAGCAACTTTTTTTTTTTTTTAAGGAAGGCATAATCAAGGAGCATTTTCTCATAAATTTTGAGATCTGTTGACTTTAAAATTTTGAGTTTCACATGCCTTGGTGTATGGCAGAAAGAATCAGCACTCGTAAGCTGTGTATTTTATGTAAGAAATGTGACGGGGTTGCTGGGCGCGGTGGCTCACGCATGTAATCCCAGCATCTTGGGAGGCCAAGGCAGGCGGATCAGCTGAGGTCAGGAGTTCGATACTAGCCTGGCCAACATGACAAAACCCCGTCTCTCCTAAATATACAAAAAATTTAGCTGCGCGTGGTGGCGGGCGCCTGTAATCCCAGCTACTCTGGAAGCTGAGACAGGAGAATCGCTTGAACGCAGTAGGCGGCGGTTGCAGTGAGCCGAGATAGTGCCACTGCACTCCAACCTGCGTGACAGAGCGAGACTCCGCCTCAAAAACAAAAACAAAAAAGCAATGTAACGGGGTTAAATCAAAAGCCAACAGAGTAGGGCTTTGTTTTCGGGTCTTTGTATGTTTTTATTAACTACAATTAAGATTTCAGCCGGGCACGGTGGCTTTCGCCTGTAATCCTAGCACTTTGGAAGGCTAAAGAGGGCAGATATTTGAGGTCAGGAGTCTTGAGACCAGCCTGGCCAACTTGATAACACCCGTCTCTACTGAAAAATACAAAAGTTAGCCGGACTGTAATCCCACCCAGCTACTTGGGAGGCTAAGGCATGAGGATCACTTGAACCCACGAGGTGGAGGTTGCAGTCAGCTGAGATGGGGCCACTGCACTCCACCCTGGGCAACATGTCTCAAAAGTAATAGTAATAAATAAGAGTGGCTGGGCGGGGTGGCTCACGCCTGTAATCCCAGCACTTTGGGAGGCCGAGGTGGGCGGATCACCTTAGGTCAGTTGTTCAAGACCAGCCTGGCCAACATGTCCAAACTACGTCTTTACTAAAAATACAAAAATTAGCTGGGCATGGTAGCGCATACCTGTAATCCCCAGCTACTCAGGAGGCTGAGGCAGGAGAATCACTTGAACCCGGGAGGTGGAGGTCGCTGTGAGCTGAGAGCGTGCCATTGCACTCCAGCCTGGGCGACAGTGCAAGACTCTGTCTCAAAAAATAAAATGAAAAATAAAAGTAAGAATTTCCATTTACGGATAATTTTAAAATGAGGTTGACCAGTTTTGTGTCTTTTTAAGCGGAGTTTTGCTCTTGTTACCTAGGCTGGAGTACAGTGGTGTGATCTTGGCACATTGTTGCCTCCACCTCCTGGGTTCAAGTGATTCTTCTGCCTCAGCCTCCTAAGAAGCTGAGATTTCAGAGGACCACCACCACGCCCAGCTAATTTTTGTATTTTAGTGGAAATGGAGTTTCACCATATTGATCAGGCTGGTCTTGAACTCCTGACCTCAGGTAATCCACCAGCATCGGCCTCCCAAAGTGTTCGGATTACAGGTGTGAGCTACCGTGCCCGTCCTGCCAGTTTTTTGTTTTTTTGTTTTTTGGGGTTTTTTTAAGTATTAATTAGATTTACTACGCTGGGTTTCTTGGAAAGTTTTCTTAAAATTACTAGTGTGTTTAGTCTTCTACAGTTTTTTTTTTAAACAGGAATTTTCTTGTTTTTTTTTTTTTCTATTTAAAACTAGAATAGTTATTAGCAGAGTTTGTTATAAATGAATAAAATTATTAGAGTTATCTTGTTTTGTCAGTTTCAAAATAAAGAATCATTTATACAAAATTTGTGTATCATCTGTCCTTAGGATCATTACTTGCTGAATATATTATGGCAGAAATACACTATTCTCTTGATTGCTTCGTGTATTGTTTTAAAGGACAAAAAGGAAAAAAGAAAATACATTTTTCTTCATAAAGTTTTTTATTGTTGTTTTTTGAGACCAGGTCTCACTCTGTCGCCCGGCTCACTGTAGCCTCTGTCTCCTAGGTTCCAGTGATTCTCGGCCCTTAGCCTCCTGAGTAGCTGAGACTCCATTACAGTTGTGCGCCACCACACCTGGCTAAATTTTGTGTGTTTTTTGTTGTTGTTTTTGAGACGGAATCTGGCTCTATTGCCCAGGCTGGAGTGCAGTGGCACAATCTTGGCTCACTACAACCTCCACCTCTTGGGTTCAAGCAGTTCTTTGTAGCTGGAATTACAGGCACCTGCCACCACGCCTGGCTAATTTTCGTATTTTTGTTAGAGACTGGGTTTCACCGTCTTGGCCAGGCTGATCCTGAACTCCTGACCTCGTGATCTACCCACCTTGGCCTCCCAAAGTGCTGGGATTACAGGCGTGAGCCACCGCTCCTGGCCTAAATTTTGTATTTTTAGTAGAGATGAGGTTTGACTATGTTGTCCATGCTGGTCTCTAACTCCTGACCTCAAGTGTTCACCTGCATTGGCCTCCCAAAGTGCTGGGATTACAGACGTGAGCCACGAACACCCAGCCCATAAAGTTTAATAGTTGAAATTCATAAGGGCACAAAAGTTTTTTTTTTTTTCCTGAAAGTGTGGAGTTCAAGTCAAAAGCTCACTTAAGTCTATAAAGACTCTCGATTGCTATCAGAAGTAGAAGAAAATTAATGAATTGTCTTGTTTAAGTCGTGTGATACTTCAGTGAGTTGTAATGCAATTAAGTATAATGAATCACTGACTTTTAGAGATGTCAGAGACTTTTAGAGAATTCCTGGGGAGGAAACTGAGCAGATTATAATTTGACAAGTAGTGGTAATTTACTAGTCTCTTTCTACATAATCTTCTCTGGATTGCTTTGAATTAACAATTTTAAATGTTTGAGATTGGCCTCATTGTGTTTTTGAGATAGTTCAAAGTTGTGTCTTTCCTAGCTTGGCTAGTGATTTGGTCTAAGTGTAGCTGTATTATTAATTCTTAAATATAAAAGAGGAGAGTTCTTTCAAAGGGGTTCTTTTAAAAAGGAAACAAAGTTTTTCTGTTGTGTTTGCTAATTTAATTTTGTTTGTTTGTTTCAGATTGACGTGAGTGAATTCAGACATAACTCAAGCTTGTTAGAGGGCTTTTTAAAAATAAAAAGTTGATTCCGTGCAAGGGAGCAAGTTACTGCTGCTTACCGTTCAGAGACTTACAGGTGCTTGCCTGCATTGCAATAAAGGACTCATTTATTGAGCAAGACTTATTTATCTCTTCATTTTGGAGAGCCTAATAAACTGTTATTACAGTTTCTCTACTGACTTTCAAAAGTTTTGAAGTTTGAAAGACACCTTTGCAACTAAAACAGCATGAGCACGGCCAGAACAGAGAACCCTGTTATAATGGGTCTGTCCAGTCAAAATGGTCAGCTGAGAGGCCCTGTGAAACCCACTGGTGGCCCTGGAGGAGGGGGCACACAGACACAGCAACAGATGAACCAGCTGAAAAACACCAACACAATCAATAATGGCACTCAGCAGCAAGCACAGAGTATGACCACCACTATTAAGTAAGTGTTAGAGTAAATTATAATAAACACTTTTGGGGAACCAAGATTTTTGTTACTTTGGTGTTGACTATTAATACTTCTGCCTTAATTTAGCCATTTTGATTCCAAATAGAGAACAGATGACTTTGTTTTATGGCCAGTAGGTATTTGCAATAGAATAACATTATTTCTGCCATAATTTATTCAGCATGTAGTGATCCTAAGGACAGATGATATACACAAATTTTGTATAAATGGTTTTTGGAAACATTTCTGGCTTTCATAATCAGTGTAAAAGTTATTAGCTTAGTTTGTTATAAATGAATAAAATTATTAGTCATCTTGTTTTTGTCTGTATAGTTTATTTAGTGTTGTTATGACTGCACCTTACCCTAAACAGCACATAAAGCCAAGTTTAAGTATTAAATTTAAAGACTCAGTCTGAGTCTTTAGAGTATTTAAAGACTTGCCCAGCCTTCTGAACTCCAAGCATTGTTCACTCAGAAAATTTCCTCGTAACTTTTTTTAGCTTATGGAACTTAGCTTTTTTACTTTAAAAAAAAAAAAAAAAAAAAAGTTGGCTGATTGAGGTGATTCAGGGCTGTAATCCCTGTACTTTGGGGAGGCCAATGTGGGAGGATCACTTGAGTCCAGGATTTTGAGACCAACCTAGGCAACATAACGAGACTCTGTCTCTACCAGAAAAAAATATTTTTTTTGTTTTTCCTTTTACATATAAAACGGGAACTAAGAGTTTTGAACTCACAGAACACAGTTCTGAACAGTCTCAGAAACCTTTTGTTAACCTTAAAATTGAAGAGCCTCCTCTTACTAGAGGGTAAGCTGAAAGTATGTAGGCTATTTGTTACTTTTAAGTGTATGTTTTAGAGTATTTGAATGGTAACCATCACTGTAAAGATTCAGCTATAGGAAATTAACATTTAAGATTCTTGGCTCCAATTGATGTTTGGCTTTTGTTAAGAACTTGCCATACAGGGCTGGGCGTGGTGGCACGTGCCTGTAATCCCAGCACATTGGGAGGCCGAGGCAGGCAGGTCACCTGAGGTTGGGAGTTCAAGACCAGCCTGACGAACATGGAGAAACCCTGTTTCTACTAAAAATACAAAATTAGCTGGGTGTGGTGGCATGCACCTGTAATCCCAGCTACTCAGGAGGCTGAGGCAGGAGAATCACTTGAACTCGGGAGGTGGAGGTTGCAGAGAGCCAAGATCGTGCCACTGCACTCCAGCCTGGGCGACAGACTCCGTCTCCAAAAAAAAACAAAACTTGCCATGTGAAATAATTTAACCCTGGGAATCTTTGTAAGATGTTGACACTGGGTTACTGAAGTGAAGTATATGTTTTATTACAACCTAGATCTTTTCACTTCCTACAGAAAAATAGCTTATACAAGCTACCAGACTGTCGTATAGTTACTGTATGTGTTTCACTAGGACCTCTAATAACTAATTTTCAACAGAATTGGTTAGGTCACTGGTAGAATTGGTATTAGTGTATATTCCATTATTTTTAAGGTGAATGCTTTAATTGGTATAGAAATGAATACTACTTTGGTTGTAGTTTGTCTTGACAGAATGTAAGTAGGTTAGCAAAATTTAGACTAATTTTAACTGTTTTTTAATAACTTTTTTTTTTTTTTGAGACAGGGTCTCACTCTGTTGCCCAGATGGTGGCGCGATCACGGCTCACTGCAGCCTCAGCTTCCCAGGCTCAAGTTGACCCTTCTGCCTCAGCCCTACAAATAGTGGGGACTACTGGCTTGTGCCAGTAGCAACGGGGTTTTGATGTGTTGCCCAGGCTGGTCTGGAACCCTGAGCTCAAGTGATCTGCCCACCTTGACCTCTCACAGTACTGGGATTACAGATGTGAGCCACTGCGCCCAGCCTATTTTTAATTTTTTTTTTGAGATGGACTCTCCCTTGCCCAGGCTGGAATGCAGTGGTGTGATCTCGACTCACTGCAACCCCCACCTTCTGGGTTCCAGCCATTCTCCTGCCTCAGCCTCCCAGGTAGCTGGGATTAGAGGTGTGCACCATCACGCCTGGCTAATATTTGTATTTTTAGTAGAGATGAGATTTCACCATGTTGGCCAGGCTACCCTTGAATTCCTGACCTCAGGTGATCTGCCCACCTCAGCCTCCCAGAGTGCTGAGATTACAGGCATGAGCCACCGTACCTGGCCTATGAGAATAGTTTCTATTTTAAAAATTCTGGGGCTGGGTATGATGGCTCATGCTGTTCATCCCAGCACTTTGGGAGGCTGAGGTGGGAAGATCACTTGAGGCCAGGAGGTTGAGACTAACCTGGGCAACATAGCAAGACCCTGTCTCTACAAATAATAAAGGCCGTGGTGAGCTATGATGGCACCACTGCACTGAAGCCTGGGTGACAGGGCAAGACCCCATCTCAAAAAAATAGTAAATTCTGATTTTGGGACAACAGTGGGTTTTCTTTTCTGGTTTTCCTACAATTAATGGTTTCTTTTCAATTCTGTAAGTTCTTCAGATCTCATTTTCTGTGCCATCTCTTCCATGAAGTCCTCTAGATCCCATCAAGTGTCTCAGAACGCTTCTAATACCTCTGTCACTTACTTTGTCACTTTAAATAGTTTTTTCATTTCATAAGATTATAAATTTCTGGCCGGGCGCGGTGGCTCAAGCCTGTAATCCCAGCACTTTGGGAGGCCGAGGCAGGCGGATCACAAGGTCAGGAGTTCGAGACCAGCCTGACCAACATGGTGAAACCCTGTCTCTACTAAAAATACAAAAACTAGCAGGGTGTGGTGGCAGGCTCCTGTAATCCCACCTACTCTGGAGGCTGAGGCTGGAAAATTGCTTAAACTCCAGGAGGTGGAGGTTGCAGTGAGTTGAGATCATGCCACTGTACTCTAGCCTGGGTGACAGAGCAAGACTCCATCTCAGGAAAAAAAAAAAAAAAGGCTTTAGTATAGTAGTCTTGGAATTGGTAGCAAAAAGTTACCAGTGTTAGAGTATTTGCATTATGTAGGACCTAGTTTTAAGTAAAGTAAGTGGTCTTTTTTTCTATCAGTTGAGCATTTGAAATGTTTTGGGGACTCTGGTTATGTAAGAACAGCTACAGTGAAAACTTTTTCAAAGATGTCACAGTTAAATGCTTTGTCTGCAGATGTTCCCTGATCTTTTTAATTATTAGATGCTTTGAGTATTTATTGCTTGAGGTTTTTACTTCGCCCAAAAGAAAGTTTATTTATATTCTCCTTGTTTTTATTCTCTTTCATGGTTTCTGGCATTTCCAATAAAAAAAAAGTTTAAGAGATGCTCATTGGCTAATATTGTGCTATTATTTTGCCAGGCACTGTGCTGAGTGCATTACATCAATTATTTGATGTAACTTAACCTGTTTTGTTTTGTTTATTGGTACGGAGTCTTGCTGTGTCGCGGGGTGCAGTGGCGTGCTATTGGCTTCCCGGTTCAAGCGATTCTCTTGCCTCAGCCTCCTGAGTAGCTGGGATTACAGGCGCATGCCACCATGCCTGGCTAATTTTTGTATTTTTAGTAGAAACGGGGTTTCACCATATTGGCCAGGCTACTCTTGAACTCCTGACTTCAGGCAATCCACTTGCCTCGGCCTCCCAAAGTGTTAGGATTACAGGCGTGAGCCACGGCACCCGGCTTACTTATTTTTGAGACAGTCTCCTTCCGTCACTCAGGCTAGAGTGCAGTGTCGTGAGCTTGGCTCACTGTAGTGTCTGCCTCCCAGGTTCAAGTGATTCCCCTGCCTCAGCCTCCCGAGTAGCTGGGGCTACAGATGTGCCCACCATGCCTGGCTAATTTTTGTATTTTTAGTGTAGATGGGGTTTCACCATATTGTCCAGGCTGGTCTCGAACTCCTGACCTCAAGTGATCTGCCTGCCTCGGCTTCCCAAGTGCTGGAATTACCAGTATGAGCCACCATGCCTGGCGTGTTAACCTGTTTTAAAAATGAGAATAGCCGGCCATGGTGGTTCACACCTGTAATCCTAGCACTTTAGGAGACCGAAGCAGGCGAATTGCTTGAACCCAGGAGTTCTATAAGATATATAAAATCTTACAACTTTTAAATGTTGAAAACTAATTTAAACCAGTTTAAATTCAAACACACGCTGTGTAGGTCAAACAAAACACCTTTTGACAACAGTTATACGGTATACAGTATTGCTTAAGACGATGGATGCCTTATTCCCTTCTGTTCTTGATTTTTTTTATCCTCCTGAGATTGTTTCTGTGTAAGAACACTTTTTCTAAAGTTGTTTAATTATCTTGTTAGATATATTAAATGGAATATGTTAAAACTTACCATGCTTTTAAAAACAATTATAATTGAGATGAATCATCTTGGATGCTATAAATTTTGATACTTCAAATTTACTGTATTCTCTCTAGACCTGGTGATGACTGGAAAAAGACTTTAAAACTCCCTCCAAAGGATCTTAGAATCAAAACTTCGGTAAGTTGATTGTAAGATACAAGTAGAATAATGGTGGGGAACTACAAGTGAAGTATAGCTGTCCCTCGGTATCTGGAGGGAATTGGTTTCAGGACCATAACACCACTGCCACCCTCCTCCTCCAACCCAGTAAGATAGATATTCAGGCTATGTATTCCCGTTTTATGGATGAGAAAACAAAAGTTCGGAGTAGTTAGTTACCTTAGTGTATTGTTTTCAACCAGGGAGAATTTTTGTCCCCCAGGGGGCATTTAGCAATTTGTAGAAACATTTTTGCTTATCAATGGGGGGGATGCTAAAGGACAGCCCTTTACAACAAAGAATTTTGTGGCCCAAAATGTCGGTAGTGCTGAGCTTGAGAAATTTGACTTAGCCAAAGATATCTGTAGCTCATGAGTGGTAGAGGTGGGATTTGACTTCATATCTTGTGATTTGCAATTCATGGCATGATATTTGTGTAAAAAAATAACACTATTCCACCAGTCCTTAGAAGACTATGACGAGGGACCCGGCGCAGTGGCTCTTGCCTGTATTCCCAGCACTTTGGGAGGGCAAGGCAGGCGGATCACCTGATTTCAGGAGTTCGAGACTAGCCTGGTCAACGTGTTGAAACCCTGTCGCTACTAAAAATACAAAAATTAGTCGAGTGTGGTGGCGGGTGCCTGTAGTCCGGCTACTCAGGAGGCTGAGACAGGAGAATCACTTGAAACTGGGAGGCGGAGGTTGCAGTGAGCCAAGATCGCGCCACTGCGCTCCAGCCTGAGTGACAGAGCGAGACTCCATCTCTCAAAAAAAAAAAAAAAAAAAAAAAAGGCTATGACCAAGTGCCCTTTCCCCAAAACATAGTTTTTTAAATAGCTTGTGTGTCAAAGCAGGACAAGTGATTTTTCTTCAGGAAAAGTTGAAATACAGATTAAAACAAGTAATCTGCATGTATTTATATTTAAGATTGGGCAGGTAAAGTACTAAAATCAGATAAGTTTTCTTTCCTTGTTTTTTTTTTTTTTTTTTAAATTGAGATAGAGTCTGACTTTGTCCCCCCAGGCTCTGCAGTGGGTGCAATCGGGGCTCAATGCAACCTGTCTCCTGGGTTCAAGCGATTCTCCTGCCTCAGCCTCCCGAGTAACTGGGACTACAGGCGTGCGCTACCACCCTGGCTAATTTTTTGTATTTTTCATAGAGATGGAGTTTCACCATGTTGGCCAGGCTGGTCTTGAACTTCTGACCTCAGGTGATCTGCCCGCCTTGGCCTCCCAAAGTGCTGGGATTATAGGCATGAGCCACCATGTCCGACCCAGATAAATTTTCCAAAGGACACCAAATTTACCAAACACTGTTATTTATTCTTTTATTGTTCCTTTTGTTTGTTTGACTAGGATGTGACCTCCACAAAAGGAAATGAGTTTGAAGATTACTGTTTGAAACGGGAGTTACTGATGGGAATTTTTGAAATGGGCTGGGAAAAGCCATCTCCTATTCAGGTATGTTAACCCTTTTTATAACATATATAAGGTTATGTGTCAGCCATTAAACAGTTTTCTTTTTGCTCTGCGGAAGTGGTATAGCGAACTAACATTTTTCTCTCGTGTACACAGTTTTTCTGAAATATTTAAGGGTAAAGTAGAAAATCATGGTCTTTACAACTCTAAATATTTCAGTGTATATGTCTTAAGAATAGGATATTCTCTTATGTAACCACAATACAGTTACCTTCAATTAACATTGACAAAATACTTCTGTCTCATCTGTCATTCTAATTATTAATGGACCCAAACATGTCCTTTATAGCAGTTTTTTTCTTCTATACAGGATCCAGTCTAGGGTCAGGTATTACTTGTAGTTATGTCTTTTTTAGTCATTAGCGTTTCCCTAGTGTTTTTTCTTCTTTTTATGACATCGACATATTAAAAATACAGCCTACAACCCCTTTCCCCCACCGCTCTTTTTTTTTTTTTTTTTTTTTTTTGAGACAGGGTCTTGCCCTGTTACCCAGGCTGGAGTTCAGTGGCCTGATCTCGGCTCACTGCAGCCTTGACCTCCTGGGCTCAAGTGATCCTCCTGCGTTCAGCCGCCTGAGTAGCTGGGGCTACAGGCATGTGCCACAACACCCAGCTAATTTTTGTATTTTTTTGTAGGGATGGGGTTTTGCCGTGTTATCCAGGCTGGGTTCGCCATAGTGCTAGGATTACAGACATTAGCCACCATGCCTGGCCTCCTTTTTTTATTAATGGAACATTTCCCATTTTGGGATTTTCTGATATTCGAAAGTAATTAGATTCAAGTTAGGCTTTCTCAGCCTGAATAATGCAGAAATCACATTATGGCCTTCTCAGGGTATCATGTTTGAAGGTGTACATAGTGTCCATTTATTCCTCTTTGGTGATGTTAATTTTGATTACCCTGTCAAAGTGTTGTATGATTTTTCCATTCTATGATTACTGCTTTTTCTCCTCTCCGTTGAGATGAATAAGCAATCTGGGGTGCGTTTTGAGACCATGCAAATACAGTAATACTATTGCCACCCTCCTCCTCCAACCCAGTAAGATAGATATTCAGGCTATGTATTCCCATTTTATGGATGAGAAAACAAAAGTTCAGAGCAGTTAGTTCTCTTAGCGTATTGTTTTCAACCAGGGAGAATTTTTGTCCCCCAGGGGACATTTAGCAATTTGTAGAAACATTTTTGATTATCATTAATGGGGGGATGCTAAAGGACAGCCCCTTACAACAAAGAATTTTGTGGCCCAAAATGTCAGTTGTGCTGAGCTTGAGAAACTTAACTTAGCCAAAGATACTTGTAACTCATGAGTGGTAGAGGTGGGATTTGACTTTGTATCTTCAATTCATGGCATGATACTTGTTTAAAAAAATCACAAAATTTCCCCTCTAGTTTTAGCACCTATTAGTGATTCTTGCTTGAGCTCATCTCTGCTCTGATGGGTTATGATGACTTTCCAATTCTAGCACTCCCTCTGTATTTGCCCCTATAAAGAAGAAACTCCCCTTCCCCTCATCCATATTTATCTGTTATCAGTGTGGACTTACACTCACCTTTCTTTTTTTTTTTTTCCCTAAAAATATCCTAGATCTGGCCAGTGTAAGCTCTTTCAGGTTGGTTCTTGTGTTTTTATGATGTGTCCCCCTCATTTTTCTTGAGTACTTTCTTGCTTTTATTTTTTTTGAGACGGAGTCTAGCTCTGTCACAGAGGCTAGAGTGCAGTGGCATGATCTCGGCACTACAGCCTCCCCATCCTGGGTTCAAGCAGTTGTGTCTCAGCTTCCCCAGTAGCTGAAATTACAGATGTGTGCTACCACACCTAGCTAATTTTTGTATTTTTAGTAGAGACAGGGTTTCACCATGTAGGCCAGGCTGGTCTCGAACTCCTGATCTCAAGTGATCGCCAACCTTGGCTTCCTAAAGTGCTGGGATTATAGATGTGAGCCACCGCACGCAGCCCCTTTCTTGCTTTTTGACATAACATGATGGCAGGCTTATCTTATATCTACCTTGGCCCAGCATTGACATCCAAGGATCCTTGATTCTTCTTTTTTTTTTTTTTTTTTTTTTTGAGACGGAGTCTCAGTCTCATCGCCCAGGCTGGAGTGTGCAGTGGTTGTGATCTTCGCTCACTGCAGAGCTCCACCCCCCAGGTTCACACCATTCTACGCCCGTGTAGCTGGGACTACAGCGCCTGACGCCGCGCCCAGCTAAGTTTTTTTTTTTTGTAGTTTTAGTAGAGACGGGGTTTTTCACCGTGTCTAGCAGGATGGTCTCCATCAGGAGTCTCTGGGGAAAACCGGTCATCTGAGAGTGGCATCTCGCCTTTCACAGAAACACACCGCGTACATCGAGAGACGCTTTCCCTCAGACAAGCTTGCTTATCGGCTTTTGGTTATCACAGGGAAGGCAGATGAGTCCTACCATGCGCGCCCCTTATCGTGCCCTCAACGTATCTCGATCCGACATATTATTATAGCTGGTTGTACGCAAGATTCCACAGAAGTTTAAAAAGGACCAGAAGAGCCCAGGCATGAGCACACAAGAGATCACCCCGGAATACATATCAATGCTCATACTTTATGGATTCTCTTCTTCCATGGATGTGAGGACACACATCAGGCGAGCAAGGCGAGAATTCTACAATGAAACACTGTCATTTACCAGATTTCATCTGGAGCGACATGAATACCACACATCACATTAACCACTCATAGCCTCATTATGGGCTATGCCTACATGTACATACAATCTATGTCATTTGCTCAAATTCCACCAAGAACTGGCTTAGCCGACCATAAAGGCCACTGTTGATGAACCAAGTGTATAACAACTCCAGACATGAGGATGATTCCAGAAACAACAAAGAGTTCTCCAGCAAAGCCCCTCTCTTAGGTATAACTTAAATTTGATGACATGAGGGGATATTGAAATTTCCAGCGCCTTGCACCAGGACCACAACCGGGCGTGTCACTCGCAGTCCCTTTCTCACTCTAGGAGTATCCCAACAGTGTAGTTGGGCTCAAAAAAGAGTGTGTTGAGTGAGCCCCTCCCGTACAAACGCATAAGAACCCTTAAAGAAATCGGTGATGGCAACTAAAACAGCATACCTCACCTCCCCGGTTCCTCGTCTTACAGTTTTGCGACAAGCGGACACACGCTCCAATGTACAAATCATTCATTGTACAACATTGAATTCCACTGTAATACTGATAAGTACCTTTCTGAATTGGCAGTATGAACTGTAGTCATTAGAGGGAAGATGAAACCTGGAAGAATTGAGCCCATGTTCGATAGCAGCAGAATGCTGGTAGTGATTACCCAGGAGTGAAGTGTGACTATTGGCTGGATACAGTATTAAGACAAGGATATGCATCATCACACGCGGTAGTTGGGTGTAGTATTAGAAATACCTAGGAATTCCAGGCCCCGGTGGCTCAATGCCTGGTCAATTCCCAGAACTTTGGGAGGACCGAGACAAGGCAGATCACGAGGCTCAGGAGATCGAACCACCTGCTAACACGGTGAAACCCCATCTCTACTAAAAATACAAAAACCTACGGGCGAAGTGGCGGCCGCCTGTGGGTCTCCCAGCTACTCAGGAGGCTGAGCAGACGGCATGGCGTACAACCCTGGGAGGCGGAGCTTGCAGCTGAGCTGAGATCCGCTGCACTGCACTCCCAGCCTGGGCGACAGAGCCAGGACTCAGTCTCAAAAAAAAAAAAAAAAGAAAGAAATACCTAGGAATCTACTATGATTATTCAATGTTAATCCATTTTATCTAACACGAGAAGTCTTTTTTTTTTTTTGGAGACCAGAGTCTTGACTCTGTTGCCAAGGCTGGAGTGGCAGTGGCAGCGATGGTCGGACTCACTGCCCAACCTCCGCCTCTAAACCGGGTTTCCAATGCGGATTCCCCTGCCTCAGCCTCCCGAGTAGCTGGGACTACAGATGTGTGCCACCGCACCCGGCTAATTGTTTGTGTTTTAGTAGAGACGGGGTTTCACCATGTTAGCCAGGATGGTCTCCATCTCCTGACCTTGTGATCCGCCTGCCTCAGCCTCCCAAAGTGTTGGGATTACAGGTGTGAGCCACCGCGCCTGGCCCACTGAAGTCTTATGAGAGTTCTTCTACAGTAGGAACTGCGTCATTCAGCTTTTATTTCTAGTACTTAGCATAGTGCCTGTGCTTATTTAGCATGCTTTGATGAAACTTAGGTAACTCATGTCTGCAGGTGAACATGGTGTAGGGAACTGCCCAGGTTGAATCCCAGCTCTGCTCCTTCATAAATTGATTATTTGGGAGCTGTAAGTCTTGGACTCCTGAGCTATATAATTGAGGTAATAGTATAATACCATAGGGTTGTTGTAAAGATTAAATGAGATAGTTCATGTGCTTAGTATAATGCCCTAGTACATGATAAATGCCCAAAAAATGTTATGGGTTATTTTATATAATGGTTTCAAAAAAGGAAATTAGTTAATTTAGGAGACGTAATTGTTTTAAATTTGTTTTAAAGAGACAGAGTCTTACTGAGTTGCCTGGGCTGGAGTGCAGTGTCACGACCCTAGCTCACTGCAGCCTCAAACTCCTGGGCTCGCGTGATACTCCTGCTCCAGTCTCCTGAGTAGGGATGATAGTGGAGTACCATCACACCTAGCTTCTTTTCTTTTCTTCTTTTTTTTTTTTTTTTGGTAGAGTCAAGATTTTGCCATGTTGACCAGGCTGGTCTTGTCCTCCTTGGCTCAAGCAGTCGTCCTGCCTTGGCTTCCCAACATGCTAGAATTATAGGCGTGAGCCACTGCACTTGGCCCAGTCCTCATTCTTAATGGGTATTTGTTAACTCCTATTTCTTACCTTGTATTAAAATTTAAAATTAACTTTGTTACTAGTACTCTCAGTGTTGGTATAGCATAACAATTAACTCTTCAGCCAGTTAACCAGTCTGACATCTAGCTTTTTCTGTAAAGTAGAAATAAGTAC